TTTAAATCAACTGCAATAACAGCAATAATAAATAACCATAACAATATGCTCTTAAATCACTCCTATTCCATAACTCCGATTGATAGGATGATTAGATGTCAGCCATGATCTTACAATCTTTCATCAACCATAGAAGACTAAAACCAAAATTATTAGTAAAACTGGAAAAATCATCAATAATTCTTTGAAAATGCTCGAAAGTTAAAGTTAATAATTGGAATGTATCATAACGGAATGATAATAATTATTTTATATTATGGATTGTATGCTTACAGTGTGAATAGCAAGGCGGCATCGGCAATTGATTTAAAAACAGGTCATGGCAATTTAGTTAACATGTTAAACAGAATGTCAGTACGTAGTTTCGCATACTCAACAAGCCTTTTATCACAATCGTCGCACATGAAAGGTGCTGAGTCACTATTATCTGTTGCGGTTAGTTGATCTTTTTTAATTTCATCCTTTAAAGAATATTGTTCCATGTTTCATAAACTTGCGACATATTTTCAGAGTAGCATTACTCCCAAAGAGTTCAATAAACCGCTAAATCGACGAGATATATTTTATTCCGGTTCAATTCGAAATCTGCCTGAATTTAAATCTGAAGGTATTGTATTTAGCATAGCTCTAAGTTGATGTTCTGTTGCATTTAAGTGTATTGGATCATGATTATACACTAAAAATTAATTTTAACTTATATAAAATCAATTTCTCGTTTTACAGGTAGTAATTACCAATCATACAGAGAATCACAAATTTCAATCCCTGCATCAGCCGTTGTCCAGGCAATCGCTAGCATTTCACAAGTGGAAGACGATAAATTAGGTAGTAATCATGGAATCACTGGAGTACAAGGCGAACAACTGGATGAACTTATCGATTGGTGTGCTGACAGGTTAGACTTAATCGCGCTTAAAGGATGCGGTTCAGTTAACAGATCCATTTTCTCTTTCGCAAAACATTTTGTCGTTTTACAAGAAAGTAGAAATAATAATACACTGAAATATCTACAACTCTGTATTGAAATATGAAATAAATCGTAGAATCTCAAAAATTTTTTTTTGTCACCCAATGATTTGACTTTTTTTACAGTGTAAAAATTAAACATATTATATTATTCAGTAAATTAGTGATGGAAAGAAGGTCCATCAGTCTTTGTATTCATTGTAAGCTCAAACGATGGATGTAAAATATAATTAAACAACAAGTATAAATAAATATTTCAAATTTCTTGAGATAATTTCATAAAGTTTGAAGGAACCTGGAGGATTGAGGTACTGAATTATAAAAGTGAGTATTGTGTATCAAATGCTTTTTAGTGCGCGTGATTTTTAGGAGGTGTAAATGGATACCAATAAGGATTCGTAACATTTTAAGTGAAATGATTGATATTTCGTTGCTGAAGGAACCAGCGATGTTCTTACTTTGCATTTCAAATTTATGTGGCATGCTTGGATTCTATGTGCCTTTCATGTTTCTCATTGATATGGCTGTTGCAAAAGGGTATACCAAAGGCAGTGGTTCATTACTCTTATCAGTAATCGGCATTACCAATACCATTGGTTCGTTTTTTTCTTTTCTCAATGATTTTCCAGTTTTGAATTTTATTCGTAAGAAATTGCAGTCTTCAAAGACTATTGAATGTCATTGCTTTTTTGTGTTTTAGGCATTAGTTTAAGGATTTATTGTTTCACTCAATTTTTTTGTTTGTTTATTATGTGCAGAAAAAAGCAAAACTAGATGAATAATTAGCATTTTTAAGTCCATCTTTTATTGCATGGAATTTAGGTTTAATAAATTGGAACATCTTGATTCGTTTGACCTTTATAAATCCGACTGGTCATTCGACATTATATATATTGTGTTGAAAGTGATGTCTTTAATTTACTAAATGAATGTGGGATGGCTTTCACACTCGCCATAATAGTATGATAGAAAAGAATTAAAGTAGGCTAATTGCAGGTCGAATAGCATTCGGTTGGTTAGCGGATCGTGGCTGGCTGTCAGCATTGACAATTAATAATTTTGCATTACTTGGATGTGGTATGCTTACCTGTTTATGCCCATTGCTCCCTGGTTATGGTGGTCTCATGGTTTACTCCATTTTATTTGGATTCATAATCTGTTAGTTCTGTTAAATTAATAACCTTTGTGGTACCGGTATTCTACTGTTTTAAGGTCGTCGTTTTATATTTAAAAAAAAGCTTAATTAATTCTTCATTGTAACCCAGAAAAATAATCAACTGTTTTCACTAATGTTTATTAGTACGCGCGTCTTGAATACTTTAAAATCCCTTATTTTCGAAGCATATAGCGAAAACATTTGAAATTTTATTATTTTCCGAAGTTATATGTTGGAAAGTTTCTTTTAGCTGCATATATTTCTCTTACATCAATCGTGTTGGTGGATGAATTAGGTTTGGATCGATTAACGAACTCTTTCGGTTTGTTGGTTGTCAGCAGAGGTATAGCATCATTACTAGGAACACCCTTGGCAGGTAAATTATCAGTAGTTTGAAGTCTCAAGGTTTTGTTGAAACTGAATGTTAAATTTGATAAATTACAGGAATTGTTTATGACATGTTCTCCTCATATGATGCATCATTTTATTTTGCTGGTGTGATTATACTCTTGTCTGGTCTGGTTTCATGTCTCATTCCGGTCGTTCATCGTTGTAAAAATGACGAACTTGCGAAAGAAACCGGTAATTATCCTGTGAATCTTAGAATAAAAGACTGTAAAATAAAAATTTTGAGATACTCGAAATAAATCTGGTAATTTAGTGGAAGAAGCGAGAATGATGGACGAAGATATCCAATCTGGAAAGCTCTCAGTACTTACAGAGCATTCGGAAGAAAATTTGATGGGATATCAACGCACTTTGCAAAATTTGTCGCAGCAACAGGAATCTGACTCGAGGATTATTTCGCTGGAAAAAACTACCAACAATAGCTGAAAGCTGAAAGAAGATTAATAAGCGATAAAATTTTTGACCTTTCACAAAGGTTTGGTAACTTATTATCAGAACCGGCTAATCACTTCATGTTTCGTATTTTTTGATTTTATTAATTGTTGATATGTTAGTTCATTACGAGTTCCTCTATTCCTGTGTTAACCTCCATCTCTGAATGGATTGAGGATTGCGAATAGAGCAAACAATAATATTGATTATCATTTTATATTCAAGAAGGAATTTTCTATAAAAACAAGTAGACCTGAAAAGTGGAGTTTTGAATTTTTTGATAGAAAACGTACATTATTGCATTCTATTTTTTTCTACCATACATCATTATTTTCAATCCGAATTATGTGTTTTGTTGGTCTTTTCTATCCTTTATGTAATCCTTCAATTAAAGCTTTTCAGTTAGTAATGTTGTATTTTAATTGAAAAGAATATGAATACTATCTGAAAACGGAGAATACGAGGCGGAAGTATTGCGATTGTAGTGTGCCCGATTGTCTACTTGTGATCAAAGGAAAAGATGGTCGTGCAGTTTGTTGCATAGAAAAGCGAAATAGCTAAAAATGTATTTTCAAAGGCTTACATTTCTTCACAGCTGAAATATTTCAGAAGGAATATAATGGTGGATGTAATCCAGATGGCTTTATGAGAGCAAAGTTAACAGGTAATGTTCAGATAAATTCGGAGAAAATGATAAAGTTAAAGAAAACATTCTAGAGTCCAAAAAAATCTCAATATCTTAATTGCTTCAAATACTTCAAATACTTGTTCATTGTTTTCCGTTCATAAACAAATAATAATTGGAGTTGGTGATGATAGATTTGGCATTTAACTCATCAGATATATGAAATAATATGTTAAGAATAAATAATCGGAAGTTGACTGTACAAATTAAGGTCGTTAAGTTGTTGGAAACGGAAATTTATAAATGAAAATAGGAAGTTCGAGAATATGATGTGATTGTTAACCGGAAAAGATATTTAATAACCGTGTAAATGCATGATAGCTCATTTATATATATGCTTGTCAATATATCTGAAGCAATATTTCAATCGATTTCTCTCCAATCATTTTAAAAATTCTATTTTAGTGTTTTTGATGCCGGAATATCGGTAAACGGTGTTTTTTTTTACTGGTGAAGTGCAATTTACTGCTAATTAATCATAAAGGAATGGAGTTTGCATAAAGCAATGAATATGAGTGTGCGACAAAGCTCAAAACACTCTTGAGCCTTCAATAATCGCCTTAATCGTTTGTTTAGCGGAAAGTTGATGGGAGCAGTTACTTACGGTTAATTTGAAATATTCAACAACAAATTGTTGTTATTTATTTAAATACCTTTGCATCACTACCGAACACTAATTCCGTTTTTGAGACTATTCGGACTTTAAGACTGCCATAGGAATAAGAAAGCCGGATTAGGATATAGAATAAAATGAAGTATATGAGGAAGTGATTTTCTTTTATACGCTTGACCTGTCTTTCTGTTCAATAGATTGAATTACATAAACCCAAAGTAAACTTTGTTCTTGCAATCATCTTTCTTGAATCCGAATGATTTCAGCATAATGCTGGGATGTTTTTCCCGATTACGTCTGTTTGTTGCTAAGCTTAAATTTTAAATTTAAATTTTAGAGAACAAGAATAATTTTTCTATTTCAATTTCATGTGAATTTTTCATGCTAGTATATTACTTTCATAAATTTTTAGATTTTTTGATCAAACTGGAGAGAATTGCGTTCACTTTAATTGGACTGAAAAGGCGATTAAAATAATAATGAGTATAAACTAAATGCCAATAAATATAAATTATAAACTATGCGGTCTTTTTTCCACTTTTGAAAAAGTGTGTGTATCAGTACATTTTTTCGAACCAGTTAAACATTTTGAACTTAATTTTATTTAAACTATGTTTTTATAATAACTTTTTTAAATAAAAATTAACTTCAAAAAAAAATTAACTTACATAGTTTAAAACTATGTTTTTCATAATAGTTTCGACTGCTAAATAAATAAATCGCAACACAGAGAGCATAAAATGAATTATAGTCATTTTGAATTCGAAATATTAATAATTACTGGCTTGAAGTTTGTTGAGGATGGAGTTTTTGATCCCATCTGATCAAAATGATTAAAATTTTACTCTTTTTCTAAATAATCCAAATAAATTTAACACCATTTGTCTTTCAAGCCTAACCTCCTCAGTACTCACTAATAATTCTCTGAAAATGTGACAAGTGCGAATAATACATCGTTTAATTTCACTTTGGCTTGATGGATATTGTTTCAGAATGTTTCTACAATCTAAATCCTTTTCAGGAAGATGGAAGCCACACAAGTTATTGATTATTTTTTTAATTCATCAAAAGTTGCTGAGAGTTTCCAACTTCGTTCCCTTTTCCAAGAATTCCGATTTTATGCACCAGGTTCAAAAGCCATTGGGAGTTTTCAATGGCAAAAATTTCATATATAACTTATTTTGTGAGAATTTTATCCTAAACGGTATCAAATTTGTGATTGAAAAAAACTTTAATGATATAACTTTTAAGTGGCTATCGCTGTTTCATTTCTCTATAAGACTCAATATTTTTATATGTGACATAGAATATCATATCACTCTGCCGGTGCTTAGTCGCTTAATCATTTTTCTCCAGTCCACTCTTGTGTTAGCCACTATTGGTCATTTATTTACTGCGTTATTCTTAAAATGGCTTATTAACAATTTTTCAATGCACTTATTTCATCAGCTGTTAATTTCTTGAGCTCCATACATTAAACAGAGAGCAGAAAGTTTATTCATTGAAATTTAAAAAGAACATTAATGTAATGTTCATTTTTTGAAAAGGTATAAAATGATTCAGCATTGCAGGCATTTTTCTTTTTTAATATTCATAAGGCATCATCTTTTAATGATAACATCTCAAATTTTCAGTTTTCTAAATGCCTTGCAATTTCTAAAAAATATTCAGATAACTTTAAAAGAGCTCAATCGCCTCAAACTATATCACATTAAATTATGGTTTAAGCTATTTATTGACTTTCTCGAGCTTTTTTTATTCCCTGACAACGGCCAGTATGCTACACCTAACAAATGCTTGTTCTTTAAGTCGTTGTTATTAACTTTTCCATGAGATCATTAGGATATTTTTTTGTAACTCGAATTTTTGAAAGTCTGTTTTCATGAAAGATAAAAGAGTATAGAAATTAAGTAATATTTGAAGTACATCAGGCCATGATCTTATATTTTCATCTTTGACTAATTTTCGATATATATAATTTTTATGTGTTCGATAGAGCCAGCTTCATAGACAGCGGATGAACTGGGTGACGGGTTCTGAATTGGATGACCCGGTTCTCTTCAACATCTTTGAAATCGAAAAGCGAGAATTCAGTTAGATTAAATGAATAGGAAAATTTCTGTTCACTAGAAAAACTGGTATATATATGTTTTCACGGCAGGATAGAATTGACAAGTCATTTTTACGATTTACTTGAAAAAAATTTTTTTGAATATTAACAGCCAGAAAGCATGCAATGATTTGTAATATGGTCCACAACAAAATAAAAACTGAAAATTACAGCAGAATTCTCCTGTTCTGTCAGCTCTTCCTCCTCATTCTTTGACGCAAAATCCCTTAATAAAAATTTTGAATATACTGTTTGAACCAAATCCCAATTCAAATAATAATCTTTGCCCTGAAATAAACAATCCCATGTAGGAATTATTTCACTAATTGAATAAAAAGTGTGCAAAACACCTGTAAAAATATGAAACAATAAGCCATTACGTATCACAAGAACTAACCTTGAGATATAAGGAGAATCATCACGCAAGTTTCATGATAAAAACAGAGTGAACTAATATTCCTCTCTGAACAGGATGAACAATTAACTGAATAATTTAAATTATAAAAGAAAAGCAAGAAAACTATACATCAGTGAAGAAGAAGATATAATGCCTGATGCCATCACTTTGTCTTTAATCAAATGGGTATGATTTTTAGCATTCTGATTAGTGCACCCACATTTGAACATTTTTATGATTATTTGCATCGTGGAGGAATTAAATTAAAATTTAACGTCGGAAGAGTCTAAACACCAAAATTATTGCATTTTTAGCTGTGCGAAATTACTGTAAAGAAATAAATATTCCTAGTTACGGATGAGTTTTTGGAACTTTTTAAAAGGAAGACAGCTTTATAGGAAAGAGACAAGAGAAGGAATGATTTTTAGGAAAACAATGAAATCATTAGGAAAATACAAAACATACAGCGTCTATGATGAACAAATTACAGCCGGCAGCCAAGCAGCTGTAATTTTGACTTCCTTTAGGAATCTGTAAAAATGGATGCTGCCGAAATACTGTTCATGTCCCTCATAGACATCAAGTGTCATCAACAGCGCAAACAATAAATCATTGTTCACACTTTCTTTTTTGCAGCAAGAAAAGCGCTTTGCCGAGCTAGGTTGGCACAAAACAGCTTGTCCACTTTTGAAGCATTCGGACATTGCGTATAGGGAATGCATACTTCATGTCGTCTAAAGCATTTCGCCACATTTGTGCACATATACATCGGGAATCCATGTATTCTGCATTCTGTAACAACACAACATTGTTGTTTCCTTTCACAAAAATCATTGCAGTATTTTATTCCAATTTTTGATAGCCACTAATTTGTACTGCTTCATTCCATTAACTATTATCACTTCTATCATACGTTTCAACTAACAATAACGATCGATTTACCTGCGCAACTACATTTTTGTTCATCATTATCGTCGGGACAGTCAGTAACACCATCGCAACGCTTCATACTTCCTAAGCAAGTTTTCGTCGGCTTACAATAAATGGCATTTGGATTCATGCATTTCTCACAATTTCTCTCATCTTCACCATCCGGACAATCCTCGTAACCGTCACAACGCTGCGACTATAATTATTGAGTTTATGAGAAACTGAATTAGTGGAATTATGAGATGATTAAAATCTCACGAGTAGAATGCATTTATTCTTCCCACCACGAGCGTACGCCTTGCACTGTAGTGTATCTCCCAAGCGCTTCATAGCAGTGCAGCTGCAGTTCGTTTCATCAGAACTGTCACCGCAGTCGTCCAAGCCATCACATACCTTAAGCGAGAATAATAACTGACCGGTTTATTTTTTCCTCATTAAAACTTACACCTGGAAGTCAATTCAGTTAAATATCTCACAAGAATAAATGACAAACCAAACTCCTTTTGATACATTTATGATTCTTACAAGTGAATGCCATTTCTTCGAAACATTCACTGCACTTCCCTTCACATTCATTCACTATTCCACTGCAAGCATACTTTCTATGATAAAGGATACCATCTCGGCATCGAATAAAATCCTTAAATGCAGTGATGTGAAACTTTAATTCATAGAAAATTGGTCTCCGTAAATGGAAATGAATTTCCAAAATTGCAAGAATTGCCATAACTAAAAAATTGAAAGATTTCAAAAATGTTTTTTGTAGAGACCTCTTTGGAGCTATGTGCACAGCCTCCAGGACAGTTAACTTCATCATCTCCGCCAGGACAATCCTCATTACCGTCACAAACTTGTGAGCGTTCTATGCAGATATTGGTATTGTTACATAATGCCTTCCCTATACCTGAACACTCTCTGCATGTGCAATCCTAGAAAATCCAAATAAGTGGTTGTAAAATATTTTATCGCATTATTTATTCACATACTTTGGAGATAAAATTTTAATTTGAAGCTCTTTTCATTGATGCTGGATGATATTTTTGAAAACTAACACTGATTCTCTCGGAAAGCTTACAAAAATTCATTGTAATCGAACTGAATTCAAATAAAAAATAAAGTAATTGAAAGTTTGATTTCGGAAAAGTTGAAATTTTGGAGTTTGATTTATGTTGTAAATCAAAATAACGCTCCTCACCCTACCATTTCATCTTTGCCATCCGGGCAATTTTGGACGCCATCGCAAATTTGCCACTTAGGTACGCATTTTTTCTTCTCTTCACACCATAATGCGCCTCCGCGACATTTACCATCACAGTTTTTTTCATCTTCACCGTACTTGCATTGCATATCGCCGTCACATCTCTGCTCATCAGTCAAGCATATACCTGTATTACCACATCGTACTTCATCTTTTGAGCATTCTTTTTCTATAAAAATTGCTTTTATTTTTTTACCAGGACATATGAATAGAAAAATAAAGAGTAATGCTCACATCACATACAAATAAGAAACACTTACTGCAATAACGCTCCTCGTCAGAACCATCTGGACAGTCCACACTTCCATCACATAAACGATAACCTCGTAGACACATCGAATGTTTTGATGAGATCACTCCGTATGTTGTACTAGAACAATTGACTGTCGTATGACATACTAAAATAATTTTACTAATTAAACAAATATATATACTGTGAAATAGAAGGATTTTGTTCGAAAATTTGCTGCCTTCAGTAATACCTGAAACGAACGAAGTTATTAAAAAAGATACATTTGCATCCAATTTCATCGCTTCCATCTGGACAATCTTCAACACCATCACAACGTTGCAATGTTCCAATGACAAGACTCTAGTATGAAACAAATTTTCATTTTTTTAATTAAATGTTTAGGTCAGTTCAATGAGTAATTACCGATAGCTTATGCTTAACTAATTAGTTGTCTGATATTCTTATTATACCACTAAAATTACTCAATTATTAATGAATTGCAAACAATTTTACCGAAGAATAGTTAATTTACCGGCAAATTTGTGCATGAAAACCCATATCCCCTGCAGAAGGTAACATTCGGAGGAATCATCGATTTGAAAGACCTAGGCTGTAGTAATATGTTAGCACTAGGCCAGTTCGATTGTGCTCTAATGATCTCCATCGTTTGATTGCCATTCAAAGATGTCGGCAACTAAATTGATCCATTCGATAAATAAAACTTTAGATTTTTAAATAATGCAGATTCTAAAGATTCAAAATCATAAGAGTCCTTACATAACCCCGTACGATGAGCGATGTAATCAGGAACGGCAAGGTGATTAAAGCGGCTAGAAGGATTAGAATACCGACTAGAAAAACAACCGTTGGTACATGATCCAGCCAGGTACAACAGCTAATTTTAGCTAAGTGTTCCTTGAAATTTTTTATCTTCAAAAGGAAAGCATAGCAGCACTTTTCGTGTTTGTTCTTCCTGGAATTGTTTGTATAAACATGATTTAGCCAAAATATTAGAAACAGTATAGTTTACAATTTTATTCCTTAATAACCAATCAAATTTGTTGAGACTTCGAAATATTAAACATTTTATGGTCAGTTCTACTTTCATTTCATTTAGATTAAAATAAATAGTTGATGCTTCTTCGAAAAGTGTCTCGTGTGAAATTGCGCCACCAAAAAAAAAAAAACAAACTGGTGATTAATATGGAGTGAAAAATTGTCTGAAACATTAAAATATGCTTGTTAGACGTATAAATAAGTGTACCTATTAATCCTAGCAAATTCATCAGCACTATCCGGACGCTGATAATATCGTGATTTGCCATCCATACTTTTTATGGATACCGGACGTATTGTATTGTGTGGCTGAAGTTATTATATTGTGAGTGGGGAATCACAGATCATTTTAAAGAATGTAGTATACATTTCAGATCACTGCAAGCTTTGCGTTTTTCTAATTGAACTGAAGTTAGAGAACCAACCGTAACTGGGTTATTTGGGTCGTATGAGCCTCGATGTGCGCTCATACTACTTCTTTGTGAGTTGAGGGAGAGTTATCCAGTCTACAGCTAATTCCTGCTTATGGATTACTCCCTGAAAAGAAGTGCAACGCTTTTAGCTGTGATCGAAACCCTAAGCATTGCATTCGAAAACTTTCTTTTGTCCCAGTCGAGTACCCAGACTAGAAAAGAAGAAATAAGAAAACTGAGAAAAAATCAAAGATGTCTTCATTCAGATTAAGAAATTTATGAGAGTATGCGAACCAACCTACAATAGGCCCTAAACCGAGAAACGCAACATTAGAAAACTGGTGATAATGAGAGAATAGTAGGAGAAATGAATAAGGAAGCTACCTCCCGCCTGAATAAACTATCCGAATAATGTCATCGTCTTAGAATTTGACCTACCGAGAACCTTTTTTTAACTGTTAATCCCGCTGATAATCTTCCAGTCAAATATCTCCCCTACACAATGCGTTTAGTGCTCTCCCTTTTCATGTAAGAATGGATAGAACAGTCGATAATATATTATAAAATGTAAAATACACGATTGCTCATATAAAAATAATCTACAAAAATTTTCTACTTCACTTTAGTGACTAGCCTTTCACTTGATAGTTCGGAAGGATAAAGTGCCTTTGTAACAATTAGCGGAATTGAAGTTTGGTAACAGTTCTTGAAAAAAATTGATTTTAAACTTTTTTTATTACTTTTTCCGGTTTTCAGCTCAAGAATGAGATTGACATAAATAATTTTGTATTGAAAAATGAATGCAATTGTATGTATATATGACTGACCAAATAGTGGATGACAGTATTTATTGGTGAAAATACAATGGGAATGCCCAAGAATGGGAGGAAGGCTCCTTTAAATGATGTTAAAGGAATGCGGAAAGCTGAGTAACATTCATTTCAAATGCATAATTGCGATCCGTCTTTTTAATAACCACTAGGTCATGCTCTCAATTTCCATATACTTTTACATATTTCTTCATAAAAATTCCTTCACTTGTCATTTCTATTTCATCTTCTTTATCGCCTCATCTTTTTGCTGTTATAGTGTAAATTTTGTACCTTTAGAAAAGCTATATGCCAAAATTTAACTGATTTTTAAAATTTAATGAATATTTTTTCTTAGAATTGTGAGATGAAGGCTCGATAAAAGTGAACCTTTTCCATCTTTTCCGTGACATTATGTTGCACCTTTTTTACACATCATATCCCAAACACATACTGTCAGCTTTTCACAATACCCAGTCTGAATAACTTGTAATGCGGCAGCAGTGGCGGTTGAACTGTTTTTGAAAGTTTCATAAAAATTGGAAATGCCAAGGATGGACTGAATAAAATCCAATAAATATAACCATCACATATGTCAGTCATTTTACAGAAGCAAGCTAACTGGGCAAGTTTTAGATTGAATTTTTTCAAGTAGTTTGCTTTTGTTGTTTCTTTGTTGCAATATCACTGTCGATACATGACTTTTTATATTCCATCGCAATGCAGCACTAAGAATTATGCGCTGTTTCTCAGACAAGAATTTCAGTTAAATTCAGTTGAATGAAAATGTTTCCATGATGCTGGTAAACAGAAAAATGTGGGTAACGACAACTTGTTTTGCAAGCATGCTATTGAAAGGCTAGTGATTATTTCTTACTTAGTTACTTGCATACAAAAATCATATCACTGCTTCTCACTTGAATTTACTAGAAAGGTATGATCATCAAAGTCTCTTGGAAAGAAGCCTTGTCTGAACTGATTAGTCAGATTTTCAAATATGCGAATTACTTTTAGCGATAAGTCAAATAAATACGTCAGCAGATTTGAACTGTAGCTTCGAATTAGTATGCCAGTGGCGTAATGATACTACTGGAGAAGACAGTGGTGATTTCTTGATAGCAAACAATATCAGAATGGGAGACCGTTTCAATATAATTCCTTCGATACACAATTCAAGTGAGTCATTTTGTTTAATCTCTCTAATATTTTCTTCATTGTAATTTGAGTAGAAAGGACTTCTCCAATTTGTAGCCTAAGGAATGACAGTTTTGGCATCAAACATTGAAAATTACACCGTGTGATATCAAAAAAATAACTATTTCCTGTTCTTATCTTGTTATCTGATAGTAGCAGCATTTGTGTTCCTTATCTCGTTTGAAAAACTGAAACCACATATTCAATTCAATTTGTCAGCTTCAGCGGTTTGGAGTTATGGTTATGAGACATTTCACAGATGCTAGAAAAGACAGCCAATGTTGAAAAAAAAGATGTTATTTGGTATGTAATAGTAGAATAATTCAGAGTGTTTAAAAATTTTTCATTACAGATGAGGTATTTGCATACACATATGGGCCTTTCGACGGAATGCAAAAAGCTACTATAATAAGCAACACTATAAGGTTTGTAGTTCATGAACGAAAAAAAAAAGTTTTTGTTTAAAGTCAAAAGCTAAAGCTAACTCATAGTGAGCTAATGATTATTGCAGTTGTCAGCTAGGCGGTGGCACTTTAACTTTCTGGTATTATCGCACGGGTGATTCAGCAACGCTAGAAGTGTGTGTACGTCAACCACCAGGAAGCTTGAATATTGCCGATCAACGATGCTTTCCTGTTTTCCCCAAAAATGCTCATCAATGGTTATTCAATGCCGTTGAATTCCCACCGCTTACTCAACCATTTGAAGTAATACTTTTAGCATGTTATACTAAAGATAATATGAACTCAATTTCCCTCGTGATAGTCTTTCTGTATCTTATAAACGTTTAAAGTAGTGATATCTTTATTTTAACAACATTGATATGAGCTAAAATGGATGTAAGTAAGTTGTGATGTAACATAAAAGATCACACTTCATTTCTTTTATTGGAAATAAATTCGTTTCATCCATAATTTCAGATTGATAAAGCTATCGCTAACTTTTTAATTGTTAAACGGTTTATTTTTGTGACGCAAACAAAATATTTCAGCTTTTGATACGCTCAAAGTACATTCAGCCATTTGATATAATTGCAATCGACGATATCATCTATGATGCCGCACTTTGTGGTAAATCATGCCTTTTAAACAAATTTTTCAAGCAGAGAGTAAACCTTTTATATAAATTAGCCTAAAAAATTTGATCAAAATTTTATTGCTATGCGAATGTAATGAAGTTTGGATCTGGATAATACTTAACTACGTAGAATCGAAAGTATCATTTTGTTAATTGATTAAGTTCGGGAGTTTGGACAAATCAACAATATGGAAAGTAACTGAATTTAAACAGAAAAAAAGAACGATATCTGCGCCATTGTTGGATGTGATTGTTAGTAAGCAATACTATCGATCCCAGTGATTTGAAGCATTTGTAATATAAATAAAAACATAAGACATGGATGCCGCAAACAAAAAAATTTCGTGGTTGCTGCATGATATGAAGGGACTTGTATTGTTTAGCGCTATCGCTGTACAACATATTTATTTATGCAGAACAATACTTAGAGGACAAGCTAACTGATCATCAAACGATGCAATAGCTACTTATTACCATTTTGATCATCATATCTAAAAAATTCTCAGAAATTCAAATTCTGATGTTAAATGATCTGTCATGTTGATGACGACATTGAAAAGAGAGGTTATCGCAAAATGTTATTTTTAGCATTTTTATCCGTAAACGAATATTGAAATGAAATGATTGTACAAGATCCTATATTACTTTTTTCTATCATAAAAAGACCGCAAATGCGTTAATAAAATTTTATGGGTCTGAAACAAATGGGAACTTCTTGTAGGGACACTACTGATAACAGTGGTCCACTTTGAATAAAATCTAAATTGAAGATCTAATTGAAAATCAAATCACCGGTTTTCTCAGTACCTGTGAAAATCTCACAATTCTGAGGGTCGATGTGAAGATTTATCTTCTCAAGGATTTGTTATGTCTATGAACCCGTCATGGCGAAATTTCGAAGGTGTTGAGGAAAAATTTTTCAGCGACAACAAAATTCTATGACAAAAAAGCAAAATTATCATAAGGAAAAGCATTGAGAACAAATCATGAAATATTGAAGGAACAAATATTCATTTCATGAAAGATGATTATTTGGCAGTCTTCATTAGCGATATTTTTTCTGATCCTTCTGATTTTAGTAAATATTTGATTTTGACTTTTTATTTGCTTGCAGGTATTCTCTCGTTTGATTGTCTTCATCTTAAAGATAGCAAGCGATTAATTAAGGAAGTCCTGCCAAATAGCAACCATATTTTTTAAAACTTTGTTGAAATCTTCTTAAATGAGAAAATAGAAACCTTTAGTTTAATTTTAGCAAGTTTCATTTTACAGAGAATATCAATTCCCGATCAACTGAAGGCGCTGACGGCAAATTTAACTTTTCCGGCAATTTAAAAGGTATAGCTTTAAATTTTGAGGAAAAGAAATTTCATTTAGGAAGTTTTCTGGACCTCTGAAATGATGCTCTGTAGACTTTACTGGACGACGGTATATCAATTTGAGTCGAGCTTTGTAAACTACCATCTAGTTTTTTCACGTTTGAAGTCATCTACTTCAGAATTCTTTTTACGCGCCCTTACAATTCCTGGGAAACTTCTTCACAGTTATAAGCTTAATTAGAGTAAGTTGTTTCTGCTTGCGAAACTTCCAAAAAATAATCATTCCTCACCATACAATTGTAACAGTATGCAATTTTGTTTGGTGGATCTGCAATGGAAAGGCAAATGAATCCTTATTTTTCTCTTTCTCTGATCTTATTCCAAAATATGCCTGCAAAACAACCGAAAAATAACGAACTTTTCTTCTTTAAATTGGCAAATTAAAAAAAAAATAATAGATCTTTTAGGTAATTTTTTCGACGTTAATGGAATTGATTCAGTGAACAAAAGCCTTATTTCTTTCCTCACAAATGGACACCGAAAGAGGTCAGTCAATTCATGCTCCAAAAAGGTGATGAATTTAATTTCTTTCTGCTATCAACAAAATGATAATAATATCAAATTTAATGAATGAAATACAGATTGTTCCCGTTATATACTTCACCATCATCACGGAAATCAGAATCAAAATTAACCCTGAGACGTATCGATAATCAACTCATTTCACCTTGTCTCCTCACGGATTGCTCCTTTGACGCCGTTGACATGTGTAATTACAAATCTGATGACCAACTTCAAGATGATGAAGATCTTTTGTTGGGTATATTTTATTGGAGTTTTTTTTGCTAGATTTTTTTCTGAACTTTTCTAAACATCTCGTTATATTAAATATTTTTAATCCATTCTGGAAATGGTACTATCGATTTTCATTTGATCAAATTTTACATTCATTTTCACCATAAACAAATAACAGATTTCACAATAGATTTACCACGGGACAGCATTTTGAAGAAGTGGAAGCTTTCACATCATAAGGTTGCCAATTCCCTCACCGGTATAATGCACGATATCAGTAGTGGTATGATTTTTTAGTTTTCATTTTTCTTGTGTTCGCAAGCCAAGTTCATAAATTTATTCAATTGATCAAAAAAAAATTTTTTTTGGCCAAAATATATATGGCCAGAAAAAAAATTTCTCAGGCTAATTGAAATATCCAACCATTGAACTTAAAAATTGTGATCGGATTTTTCTTGGAGTTGGAGTTATTGCAAAATTTCATTCCTTATGTTCGTAATCAAGTTTAGGCTGATTTTAAGCTATAACTAAGTAAATTTGATCATTTTGGATTGGTTCGAATTTAAGATGGCTGGTTTGCATATGCTGGTGAAACGAATAATCCAGTAGCAATATTTATCATGCGAATACCAAAAGCAATAAATATACTTGAAGAATCTCGAATTAGTTTCTATGTACACATGGCCGGCAAATATGGCCGCTTACGAGTTTGTTTGGATTCCCTTCGCAAATGTCCATTTGAAAGGACTGGACAGGCGTTGAGTGTGCAAACAAGAAAATGGACAAATTTTCATATCAACATATCACTTGGATTCCACACGGTGAAATTGTTTTTATATTTTTTAGAAAATGTTTTAAAAAAAGCTTAAATTTGACAATAAAGCCTTTTACCATTTAATAATGTTTCAGATTTATTTTGTGGCAGATAAATTAAAGAAGAATTATGTGATTGGACTTGATAACATTCAATTACTGATTAAGCATGGCGAAGTTTTTGCTCCATGTGCACGATAAACAAGCAAGTTATTTCCATAGCTTTGTCTTGGACTGGCAATTACTGAACCATTAAAATACTGTCAAGACTGTCCAGTCATTCTGTATGGGGTGAGTCGTAGTACTGTATTTATTACACATGCTATATTGTGCAATATAGCGTTTAGCTGAATAATTTGTCGAGGTTGCTTCTGCTAATATAAAATGAATGAGTTGTTGAAATAACACATGCTCATGGTTTTTCTTGAATTTTGGTCGTTCAAATTGAATTATCGATCACTAACAGGAAACTGTTCATAATTTCCTATGACCTATTGCTCCTTAAAGCTGTGCAAGCAGTCTATGTTCATATAAATCTGCTTATGTAAATCTTTGCCGCATAAATTTAAATATTTTTGTATAGCATATCTCGGTTTGTTTTATTGAATTGAGCAGCTGACGATCTCAAAGTGTGCAATTGAAAATGGTAAAAATTATCAGTTAAGAAAGAGCACTTCATCTAATCAAATATGTTCAGGTGTGAAAATTTTAGGCACGCACTTGCAGCTTTTTGTTTCTTAATTGCAACATCCTAATGCATGCGAAGAAACGTATTTGTAAATTATTTATTTAAAGTTTGATATGATCAATATCGGTTAAACATTTTAGGAAGACAGACCAAAGTGTCAACCCCGAAATAAAAAAAAGCATCAAAGCTGATAAAATACATTAAAGCTGATGAAATTAAAAAAAACATCAAAGCAAAGTTCTAAGCTATTAGAGAATAATATACTAAGTAAAAATAAAGTCAGAAAATCAGAACTTCATATTTTCCTACTGTCTCCTGTTTTCCTCTTGAACGCGCACTTTTTCTATCATCCCTGTCACCCACCGCTATCCTCACTCTCACTTATGATTCCTTAATTCCAAGCATAAGAAAAAGTGATAATATTTTCTTGGCAATATTAGACAAGTTTCGAAATCTCAAAAATACCAAAAAAGACTATTACTACTGCTTCATTACCAAAAACCACCACATAGATGAATAATGTGTTTTTTGCTGATGCTAATCCTCGACGTGGCTAAAAATATTTTCGTAAAATATTTCGGTTTTGTTTCAGTTCAACTGAATTGAGTGGTATAATTAATAACTTATAGTAATTTTCAAGCAAACTTTTGGTCATCGCTCTCGAAAAAACATGTCGAGCAAATAATATATGCATTGTCTGTCAAATATATCGTGCTGATAAAAGTAGTTATCAATCTGATTGACGTGCACAGGATTTTAATTTAATTAACAAATAATGGTTGTTCCATAATCGTTAACGTCCGAAGTTTATCTTTCCCTTGCATCAATCAGGTGATTCATGATTATCTTTTCACAATAGAATACTTGACAGAATATTTTTTCTTTCTTTAAAAATCTCTCGATTTATAGTTGGCTAATTTTATATGCTTTTTAAACCTATTGATGACAACAACTGCACTTGTAGTTTTTACAAAAAAAAAAATAGTTTATGAAGAAATTGGCTTCCGGAAATGACTGAAAGAAAATCCGATTACTCTTATGGAAAATACTATCTGTTGTGATAAAAATTCACAATGAAAAAATTAGGTAAATGCATATTAATTTTATGACGTCGTTTGATTTTAAACAATCATTTCAATTTATTAGATTGGTGAGTTAAATTTAGTAATAAATAGTAACCATTGAAAACATATTCATCAGTAAATATTATTCGAAATCATTAGTAGTAAAAGCATTATTCATCAAATACTTGAGATTTTGAATTTGAAAATTTTTTTGAATACATTCCAGAAAATCTAATCATATATTTTATAATTAAACGAATTTGCCTGCCTATAATTTCTAACAATCAATTCAATTGAAATATGAAGAAAAAGATGTGAATTACACGCTCTACTCATTTTGCTTAATATTTGTTAATCGTGATAATCCTTTCACTAGAAAACGTTGTTTTCTAATAACTCTTGCATTATTCTCATGTTTTTATTTTACATTTCCATATGGCATCTTAAAATCTGGTTATTTTTCCTTGATTAGTCATTATTTTTATTTACTGTTGTGAAAGTAATTTGCGTACAAATGGAAAGTTAAGTCAATATGACTTAGTTGTAGGAAATATTAAAAGAATTCAGTAGCAAAATGTTTGAGGAAATTAATTGGGAAAGTGATTAATATCGGATTTATCTCTTGCAAGAATTATTATATAATGCTGAAGATGAAATTTAGAAGTTAAAGTAACTGTAAAATGATGCTTTAAGAAATTCGTATGTATCTGTTGGCAGACATTTCTAGCTGTATGACCAGTAAATTATGATATTGGAACACACTGTGAAATTGTCGCTGGGATGATTATTTATGTTATTCGAAAATTTCTTAAATAACTTATGAAATAAATTAGCAAAGTTTGCTAATAAGAGTACGAGTTCTTATAAAATACGATAATACTTGTTGATTCAGCGCTTCCTATTAAAAATCTTGTTCGTGATAATTGCCACAATTTAAAATACTTGATAGTTCTTAAAGTAGTGTTTCGGTTTTTTAAAACAATCAGGTTACCTTATCCATGTGACACCTATTCATTAACGTCTGAAAGAAGTAATAATTTTGACTGAAAGGAATGACCAGAAGCGCCACTTCGTGATGTAAATTTAATCGACACTATTCTAATCACCAAGCAATTATTTTTGCAATTTTTAACTGATTCAGGTAAATTTATTCCTTTCCCTTTTCTATTCGCAAGAATTACGTCTTCAGTAGATCTCGGATGAATGATGCAATAATTTAATTGGTTATTCTGCATACAACATGCATCGTTGTATAAAGGGATGTATATTTGATTTGAGAGATCTAAGATGAGGAGAAAGAAAAGAGGACAAAAAAGGCATATAACATGAATGAGGGTATTAACAATGGGGTTTCAGGTTCTACGGTAGTTCTTTGGAGGATGGTGTACTTAGGTGGAAATAGGGGGATATCCTTATTTGAGCGACGTAAGGACAGACATACATACACGCCATACGCAAACATTCTTCAGATAGGAACGAAATTATTCGTTGAACTAGGTCATAAGGCAATAGTTGAAGGAGAAAGAGGTCATAGGGGAGAGATCCATCCAGTGGCAACCAACATTTTCGTTGTTTCTTGGAAGTAGTACGACTCTTTATCATTCTCTTTGTGTGTGTATTTGTCTGTGTCTGTGTCCTCACATACCTGTTTGTCCAACTGTCTAAGGTTTGTCTTTCCAGATATATGTCTGTAGAAACATCTGAATCCAAATTTACCGGATCCATCCATCCAGCCATCTTTATTGCATTCAGTAGTTCCATCCTCAGTTGCTCCGCCAATCAACGTAATCACCGCTATTGTTTCCGTGGAACTGTTTCAAGAAGACAGTTATTGAATCGTTGTCCAAATTTGCTACATTTGTTAATAATTAGTTGGAACCATAACATCACAACCAGATATCGGATTGAAGGAAGGCTGTCATCATCTCACTTCTTATCAATCATATATCCAGCAGTAGTTTTTTCTTCTCATTCTCTTTTTTTCGAAAACTTACCATCTTTTAAATATTTGAACAGCGTAGCAAATTAAAACATCTCATATTCATCGTAATCCACAATTTCGATCCTGTAGGTTGCTGTACCTGTAGTCAGTTGTTGGTCATCATCGTTATCACTATTCCGAAATCTATTGGTTGTTTCTGGAGCAGGTCCGAATGTTACCTATCGTTATGTTCATTTTTGCATCACTGACAACGACTTTATTCCGATTAGGTATGCTTTTCATTCTTCATAGAGAAAAGCCAGAAAGAATAATCAATTAACATAGCGCTGAGAAGTATAAAATCTGTTGCATCTCTATTTACATCTTTACCATCAGTTTCTAAATTTCCAAAGTAAAGTTGTTTTGAAAATTTGAAGAAATTTCCACTCTTATATATTACCATTTCATTAATTCACGTTATTCTAAAGATCTGTGAATTTTAATAGAAGCACAAATAGGCGTCCTCGTTGAACATTTTCAAAAAAATTAAAGTTGCAACTTTTAACTCGATTTGCTATGTTTTTTTGAGAAGAAATGTTGAAGTTTTGGAATTTAGGAGTATTCGAGGAGTTCCAGTGGTTTTAACAGGAATTATCATTTTAAGAACATATGAACTGAGTAGTCCAATTTCAAGTAGGGAGTATCAGGGTAGTTTAACGTCAGCTGGTTTAAATTTTATGCCTGCTTAAAATAGCTTTTGATATCAAGAGCATCACAGATTCTTCAACCATTTCAAAATTTATTGAAGAAATGTTTGCTATATCTGATTTCCAAATAAAAGAGGAGTTTTAGCATCTCATTTGTTCTATTAATTATAACTTAGCAGTTTTTTGATATTATTTTTCACCTTGTTTGTAAAATATTCCCCAATTTTCGCTTCCGAAGATTTTAAATGTAAATTCATTTTTTCTAAGTTTTATTTGTGCAAAACTAATGTTGAAAATTATAAATACATCATGGGTTAAACCAGCATTTAATTATTGGATTTCCCCTAACCTTTTTTGATGAGTTTTGGCTCGCCTCTCTAATTTTACCGAAAATATTTAAAAGACATTTCGGCTTCCATTTTTAAAATGATTTTTTGCTTATTCAATAAATATGACGACAACAGTAGTAAGCGTTTTATTAAATTCAACTTTGTTTCAAATTCAGATTGGTTTAAGAATCCTAGAATAATATTTTCAATTCTTAAATTCTTCGAAATCTTTTCACTCTTATATTATTTTTTCAAAATTTTTCCACAATGAGCAAAAATTCTTCTACCCAGAAAATTCAAGCAGGCATATTCTTCAATCTCTCATTTGTTATTATCAAAGTTTTCTTCGGTTAAGGGAAAACAATATATCATATGGACATTGCTTTTAAAAGTATATTTAGTAGGAATGGGAAAAATAAAATTTGAATCTGAATTGAAAATTTTTGCGAAAATTTTAGTCGAGGTATTTGAGAAATTTAACATTAAAATGGATATTGGTGATATAGTTATGAACAACTACAAGGTCGTCGTGATTCTCTTATTCATACCGCTGTATTTCGTTCAGCTGAGACGTTAACTGCATTCGCTATAAAATGATTTCGGAACATTAGATTGCATTCAGATCGCTTAATTACATACATTTCAATTTGAACAAATTCAGCAATTTTGAATTTATGATTCGCTCAAGTGCAAAAATTGACGGAAAGGAATATTCGAAGGTTAATAATCTAAAGAAATGGATATTTTTTTTTAAATGTGGATAGCTTGACCTACATGAATTTCTTTTTTTGGAATGATTTCTCTGCTTCAGTTAAAAGAAGAAAAATTTTTTTAATGCCTTAGAACTCAATATATTGAAATGTGAGGTGATATTGAAATCGCATCTATCACATTTTAAAAATTCGTTTTCCTAATATCGAGAATAATTTCTTCATGTTTTCGCAAATCTTGGAAACATTCAATGTAAATTGTTTAAGTTGACTATTTGTTTGCAATATTACGAGCACATTTTTAAAGTATCGAAGAATAGTTCCAACATAAAAGATAGATCATACATGCTTCATTCTATCATTGTGTATCTACAGATACTTTCTGCAACATACGAATACATTTAAAATATACACTGGGGGTTTTAATTTTGATATCTTTTTTCCTGCATTTTTTCATAAAACGATACACAAATTGTTTCAGAATAGTGACACTTGTGTAGACATTTAATTCGAAGGCAAAGGCCCAAATAATAGAAAAGTGAGCAGTTCAATTGACGGAATTAATGAAATTGAAATTTAACCCAATTTCCACATTATCCAGTGGTCAGCAATTTAGGAAACCAAAGACCATAACATTTCTTGCTCTTCAAAGTATACTAGTATACTAGCAGTTAAGAAATTTTTTCCCTTAAAGTTCATTTAAATTTCAATTCCAATACCACGAAATGAATTTTATGCATGGTAATCTATGACCAAATATGAATCGCATTCAGAAAAACGGTTTAGATAAATGACATCAGTTTCTACCTTGATGAAGGTATAATCTGTTTAATTTCTCAGAAGCCTGCAAATTATTGATTTTTTTTTTGTTTGTTTTTTTTTTGCAATTTATGAACAAAATATGTAACATGTCTTCAATGATTCACTAACGGATCGTGGAAATTAAAATCGAATTGCGCTGAATTCGTTGTTTACCTCTGACCCAATTTCGATTTCGTGAATGTAATCCTTTATCCTTACCGGTGGCTCAAATCTTTCCGAATTTTCCACAAATGATGGTTGAAGCAAAAGATTTCTTTATGCAATCAATTAATAAAATTGTTTTGCAAAATATTTTCTGCAATAAAATACATGTATGTTTAACCAATGCAATAATTGCAAAATAGTTTTTCTTGCATATAAATGAAGCACCAATTTTTTAAAGCAGTTTGTGGTACCAATAGCAACAAGGACAGCAAACAGTGGAAGTATAATAAAGATTTTAATTTGACAGTCGTCGCAGTTCCCAATTACTGTTTATTAAAATTAAAAAGACAGCAGTCAAAACCAAATTTCTTAATGAGCCCTCATTGTATACTTTGGTCGTAAATATCTACAGATCTTCGATAAGGATGTTAACAATAATACCAGAAAATTTGCATCTTATTCTTATTATCTTATCTTTTGGATACCTGTATTCTTATTCATTTATTGTTATCGATAAAATTTCAGGAGAAAGCTGTGTTAGTACGTCACCACGAGCATTTTCACCTGGAGCATCGGTACAGCAGTTCAATGCTATTCCACCTTCCCCAGCTGATGCAGCGGTTGGTCAACCACAGGGAATCGCGCTTGCTGCACCACAACAAGTGCCCAACAATGTCCCTGTTGGTGTAATTAGGCCTGCAATTTCAGCTGCCGGTCGGGGACCTATTGAACCGATCCCACAACAGCAGCTTCTTAATAGTAAGTTTAGTGGTATCTATATTTATTAATTTGGTTTTCTCGTTTAAAAAATTTAGCCAAAAAATATTTTCCATGATTACTTTTGGCTTCTTAAATAGGATCTTCATCTTCGATCTTATACCTTGATGTTATCGATCGAACTCATCAATTGCGGTTATTTTTGAAATCTCCTTTTTCGTTTGGATTTCGAATTTCCTATAGTTCACTCAGGAAAAGTATGATGAAAGTGACGTTTATTGAAAGATTTACGAACTAATTTCTATCGCCCAATTAAATTATAATTTATATTTTCTTCTATCTTATAGTTTTTTACAATCTTGAAATGCTCTATTTATGATTTATTTACTGTTTTTAGTCTGATTGATTCGAAGATCGTATTTTATTTTTTGGTTTTTTTATGTTTTAAAAGAAGTGACGGGAAAGTAATGAAATTGCTCACTGCAATTAATTTAAAAATTAGCCAATAAATCTTGCTGCATGCAAGGCTGTAAAAGCAATAATATAACAAAATAACTGAATTCTTCCAAATGAAATGGATAAGTTACACTTTGTTTAGCTTATTTACGCCTCAGGCAACTTTCTAGTGAAAAATAAGAGTTTCACTACAACGAGTGATGAATGTGATGAATAAAAGGATGAGTGACAACATGTTGATAAATCAAAAGACATCCGAGGGATCGTTATCCAATTATTACGACAAAAAAGTACAAAACAGTATTTAGAACATTCCCTCACTCTCCCCTTCCCATTACCTTTATCTGCTTCTTTTCCCTCAAGGACAAAACATTATCAAATAATTTGGGACATTTGAATGAATGCCAAACAATACAAGAAGAGAAAATTTCATCGGTTGAAATGTGCGTTGGAGATTTCTTCTCATTTCCTACACCATTTTAAGAAATAGTCGAAATGATTATAATAAACAGATTCAAAGAATAGTTAAACAAATGCGCGGATGAAAGCAAGTAAAGAAATAAGCAAGAATATTCGCAACTTTTTAGATTGATCGATTAGTTATTCTGGAACCTAAAATTTCTGGTGATTGTAGAAATTTTCATCATTCTTTAAAAAAAAGTTCCGTTATAGGTCCATTAGGGCCAAGGATTACATTGCACGAATTTGACTCAAATGGATATAATACGGAAGGAGGTGGTCCAGTTGCTGTAGGTAATTGTTTTTTTGCTCTTTTATTTTGCTATATTTCCAGAATAAGGTTTTGCATGAAGGATATAAGGAAATTCAAATTTTGAAAGTGTGACAAGGACCATTTATTTGAGCATACTTTTATTGCGTTCAATGTTGTTCAACTTTTTTTTCTGAAATAATATTATTGAACAACCAATCATATGAATTGTTTGTTTTTATTTACATGTAATTCTTCACTTCCTGAATTGTGGCCATTGTGAAAAAGAATTCTATACAGTTTAAATTATCACATGACAATGGTAAGAGACCATATGAAAACAAATGAGATGGGAAAATAAGGGTTTTTGAATTTCTAGGCGAAGCATTGTCTTGTGATTTCGATTCTCGTCCATGTTGCTGGGCTAACGTTCCACCACCAGATGATCAGCTTGATTGGCATTTGGCTAATGGCGCACCTGATTCGCGACAGTTCCAGAATGTACCTTTTCCAAGTATGTTCTTCATCCATGACAAAAATCTATTCATAACTGGTGCAATTTAAATGGTGAGTTATTGAAGTCCCTTTTTTCTGGAGGTTCGTTGAAACGATCGAAATTTCTATAATTTGTTGATTGTTGTGCGAGAGTATATAATACTAGTATAAAAGGATAAAGTCTTATTTCTTATATTATATGTAAATTGTATATAATTAATGGAATAGATGACTGAGTATATAACTAAATATAATCTAGGAACAAGAAAAAAAGGCACTAAATAATTCAATAATTTATAAGGTGGCAATTATTTGATTACATATGCGAGCAGCTCAGCACCATCAGACGAAGCGCAGTTTGCATCATGCGCTATTGGCTGTGCATCTTCACCTATTATCGTAAGGGCAAGGTAATGCAAACTATTTTTGTGGTAGATGGATCAGTTATTTAGTAGCACAAAGTTTGTCGAATATTTCAGTTTTAACTGGTCTAAATCCTTTAAACTTTTAAAAGTTTTTCTTTCTTACTCAAAGTTTTTCAATTTTTTGCCTTTATACTGAGCTGTGATACCAAATCTTTGCTAATCGATGTGATCTGCACTTTATGAACAATCTTTCAATCTAAGTGTTTAGTAAATTAAATAAATTATTGTTCATGCC